GGAGAGACTGACTATTATAGACCCATTACAGAGCCAGATTACTCCTCGTCTGACCTGTTGAGAATCCTGCGATGTACAATCTTGAGGATGACGATTTTGTCGGTGCAGCTCTTGAGGAAGTCGGTCATTTTGTTCTTCAGGCCAGGCTTCGTCTCGTGCTTGGCGATGACTTTCAGGCTGTCCCATGAATCCCGGCACCTCTTCTCCAGCTGAGCCAGACTCTCCGCAAGATCATCAAAATCCACCTGGATAGCACATGTGAAAGGTTTCAAGTCAACCATCACCTATCAGGAATTCTATGTACAATGTTTAACTGATATAGAGTAACCACCACACTCTTCATGTAGTGGACTTGATGGGCAACTGCTTCACTCAAGGATACAACCAATCAGGTCCTTCAGATTGCCCACATGGTTAAAAAAAAAACAAAAAAAAAACAAACAAAAACAACAGAGTGGTCCGTAATCCATCCAAAAAATTGTCACCTACAAAAGTAGGTTAGCTGCCAGAACCTCGAATAAGGTCTAAACCAGCAGCTATGTTACCAATACATCTCATAACCCGCAAGAGGCTACACAAAGGGGGAACTATTTGATGTATAACATGAACCAAATGCCAAACCACTTATATCACGCTCCCAGAAAGGTGGCCCCCCACATCACCTCTGTACATGGGGCCCCCAGGAATCCTCCAATGCCACATCTGCAGCTTCCCAGAATCCTTAAGGAGTACTCTGACCTCCACAATACACTCTCCTGACATGACAAGTTGAAGCATAAGAGTGGTGGCTGAGAGACCAAGCGGTCCATCAAGTCTGCCCCTTCGTAGACCTGTTTGCCCCAAGCTTGTCTTAATTCACTTACAGTTGACTGACTGGCCGCCTCTACTCAAAGTCTGCTCCAAGTGTCAACTACTCTTCCTGTAAACTAATACTGTACATTCTAAGGTTAGTTTTGAACTAGGTTGAAGTCGTGTTCTTGATCTGATCGTCATATTGAAAAATCTGCCTTCCTGAACTTTATTCACACCCTTCATGCATTTAAAGTGCTCCGTCATGCCCATCCTTTCCCTTCTTTCCTCCAGACTGTGCATGCCACGTTCCTGCAGTTTCTCCTGATATGTTTTAAGCCAACACCTTATAGGTGACTGTCAGCAATACTGACTCCTCTCATCCTATTTATGCCAATGATGTAACAGTATCAGAAGTAGCTGCACATAGAGAAGTGAAGAGACTTACTTTGGAAGAGCGGGTTATAGCTGCGATTTCCGAGTACAGGTCTGTCGTGTCGGGAAACTTCTCTATGACTATATTGCACATGTGATGGAGCAACGTTTGCCGGTGTACTGTGTCCTTCACCTCCGACACCTTCTCCAGGTAGCTGAGGTCGAAGCCCTTGGCCTAGAACAGCAGAGAGGACAGGTTAATGCCGCTGGTGGAAACGGGGATGAGAGACCCAAGAGTAGAGGAAGCTTGGCAGAGAAAGAGCTTCCTGTAATAAAGACCGGTCACTGCTGCGGTCACTCCTTGTGCAGGTGACTGGTCTTGTCTCCGCCCCCTCCTGTAATAAAGACTGGTCACTGCTGCGGTCACTCCTTGTGTAGGTGACTGGTCTTTTCTCCGCCCCCTCCTGTAATAAAGACTGGTCACTGCTGCGGTCACTCCTTGTGTAGGTGACTGGTCTTGTCTCCGCCCCATCATGTAATAATCATGTAGCTACATCTCATCAACATTGCCCCCCCTCTCCTAATAAGCCAGCACCAAAGGTGTCTACAGAGCTCCTCCCCTACCCACTTCATAGTCCCCCCTCTAGATGTCCAGCACAACTCATGAGACTTTAGACACACAGATATATGCAGCCAGGGGCTCAGGAGAAGGGAGTTCACTGCCAGACACATCACATGACCAGCGCCACCAGGAGCTCAGCACTCCTGATGCCATTGCATCTAAGGGTGGGCCTGGCCAGCTTATTCACGCCAGAATATAACACAGTTAGCGTTTTCTGGCATTTCACTTATTTTACAAAAGCAAAGAACCTATTCTTATTTTTTTCCACAAGTTCTGCTTTAATGAGTTACTATCCTTGCCTCTCGGCATAAACATAGAAGACTCTCTCACTCATAGAACAGCAAATATCCAGTGCTGACTGTTCCACCATAACACTTTAATTACACAGTTGGTAACATAAAATGGATGCAACTCACGCATGAACCGTTCAGGAAGTTGCCGACTGCCAGCAGTGAGGCCAGGATGACCCTGAATGTCTTGTTCTTGGACAGCTGCTCCATCCCCAGCTTCAAATCAAACAGCGGCTCTGCGATTTCCTAGGAGAAGACACAAAGCAGACGGAGGATTAACACTATCTGGTTGAACGACTTGCAGAAAAACATACATACATACATAAGCATACAAATACATACAAAAACATACATACATACAAATACATGCACACAAATACATAGAAAAACATACATACATACAAATAAATGCACACAAATACATACATACATAGAAAAACATACATACATACAAATACATGCACACAAATACATGCACACATACAAATACATATAAAAACATACATGCATACAAAAGACCAATTTAAAATAAACGTTAATGATTTGATTTCACACATGCAATCAGCTACCTATACATCTCAGGGAGTCCCTCGTATTGCCTCTGTATTGTGTCCATGTGAAGTCTGATTTTTATATTGTTTGTTTATTAGAATGTTCTTTTTATATTGTCAGTATATTGTTTTTTCTTATACTGGAGCTGACTTTGATGGGCCCTTTGTATTTGTATTTTATTTTCTTTCTTCAATAAAAGTGTTTATTGAAAAAATAAATAAACTTGTCTTTTGTCCACTTGGGGAAAAGCAAATGTTTCACTGTAATAGAGGCCCAATCATCATCTTATTGTATTTATTTATTGCAGGTATTTATATAGACAATCTAAGGTCCCTATCCCACATACATACAGCGTTGATTTAGACAGGAGCCAATTAACCGACCAGCAGGACTTTAGAGCCCCCGGAGGAAACCCACGTAAGCAAGGGGAGATGCAAACTCCTTGCAGATTGGCCCTTGACCAGGATTTGAACTGGGGACCCCCCCCCCGTGCTGCAAGGCAGATGTGCTAACCACTACGCCATTGTGTCTGATACCCATCCTTCCCCCCACCACTCTCTTTGGTCACCAACCATGAAGAGCGCTAATGACTTGGAGGTTACACAGGGCTGAGGACTCTCTACTCACCCCATGGGCACCCACTGTGTTCCTGAGTGGCCAATCACTAAACCCCAATGTTGTCATGTGAGAGGAAGGGGAGTGGGTCACTTGCTTCTTATACCCGGAGATACCAGGTACGTCACTTTGCTCTGGGCTGCCAAATGTAATGGAAGGCAACTAAAAGCTGTTGGTAGCCCACCATTAACGTGAACCTGTTGCTCTGCCCTGCATGGATAAAGCAAAGGCTCACTTTAAATATGTGCAAGAGTAATCAGTGTCCTCGCGTTATCTTTACTAACTCTGTAGTTCTGTATAAAAGCTGAAGAGCAGCCACAATATTTCCAGTATTCCTGGTCCAGTTTTATGTATCCATATCTGATAACTAAAGGAGGGCCGGCCAGGGATGCTGAAAATTACTGTAGTAGACCCCGATCTTTTCTGTATGTGGCTCCGCATGCTTCCCGGTGACTCTGATTACAGACATGAATACTTACATTGAGTCAAGCTGGACCAATGTAAGTATCCAAAAAAGATCATTCCCGGAGTTCCGCTTTAAGTACGCAACATAGTTCTTCACAAGGGTCTGCTGAGTATGTTGCTTACACTGCTGACAAGGTCACTTTAAGCATTGTGTGATGAGTGGAAAGTGTATTACCTTCTCCATGGTCTCATAGTCCAATTTGAAGGCCCAGAGCTGGAGGCGGGAGGTCAGGCCGCTAATAGAGGACAAGGTAAGGAGGAACTGTTCAGCCGATCCGAGAGGCAGGTCAGGGTTCGCTATCTGAGCCTCCTGAATCTTCTGCTTCTCCTCCTCCGTTGGGACCATCGTAAGGATTTTCTGGTGTAAACGGAATGAATGAAATCAGTTAATTGTACAATCTGGACAGGAGATCGCAGGCCCAACCGACATGAAAAAATGCTTATATGTATAAGTCATAGTGTCAGCAATTTACAATCCTAGATACTAAATGAAGGCTTAGCTTTCACTGGTTGGTTTGTACATTTTTTTTTTCACAGGCACACATAAAGGACTATTTTGTCTTACATATACACCTATCATACCATTATGACCACCCACCTAATATTAAGTAGGTCCCACTTTTACTACCAAAATAGCCCTGACCTGTTGCATGGATTCCACTAGACCTCTGAAGGTATGCTGTGGAATATGACCCGTCAAGGCCTGGACTCCACTAGACCTCTGAAGGTATGTTGTGTTATATGACCCGTCAAGGCCTGGACTCCACTAGACCTCTGAAGGTATGTTGTGGAATATGACCCGTCCAGGCATGGACTCCACTAGACCTCTGAAGATATGTTGTGTTATATGACCCGTCAAGGCCTGGACTCCACTAGACCTCTGAAGGTATGCTGGGGTATATGATCTGTCAAGGTGTGGACTCCAGTAGATATCTGAAGGTATGCTGTGGTATATGACCCGACCAGGCATGGACTCCACTAGACCTCTGAAGGTATGCTGTGGTATATGACCTATCAAGGCATGGACCACACTAGACCTCTGAAGGTATGCTATATCGCGTGTCCCCAGCACTGTGACCGCACTATCACCAACAGCTCCTTGTCACATAGCAATGATTGGGAGCCAGTAGGATGGGCTCCTGATCATGTGATCACTGTGACAGTAGGAGTGATCACATGATCAGGAAGCCCATAAAGGGGTGTAAGGGGGTAAACAAGGGTCACTTTCAATATATGTAATCTTCAGTCTATTACAATAATACCCGGTGATCCTGCCATGAAGGTCCTTATCCAGACACTTCCTGTTAAAGGCTGACAACGCTCTGTCCCATTTCCTGCTTTGTATGTCACACTACTGATGGCAAACTTTTGATAGAGATTACAAGTGGCTAATTCAACACACATTACACAAGCATGGTTCACTGTTGTCACTATCAAGAAATGCCAGGCACTGGAGTCAATGTAGACAGGAAGTGGCTGCAAAGAGGCTGCAGGGAATCAGCAGCACTGTAACAAAGGATTTAAAAACTTTACCTTTGACACTATTGACACCATGAGAAGTCCTACTGACCCTTCTCAAAGGACACCTCCAATATAGAAGCAGATTACCCTCATTTCGGGGAGAGGACTGGTAAGTGAGCAGTCAGCTGCTGTGATAGGATTAACCTACTTACGTCACCAGCGTAGATCACTACAAGATTAGCCGGCCACAGAGGTGAACACAACAAACAAGGTGTTTATCCCATCAAACCAGCTGCTCTGTCTGAGAATGTGCAAGCAGCCATATTGTGACCTGCATCCGTGATGGAGGAAAGGGGACAATGTGGTAAAGTGGATCTGAACTCACAAAGTGAAGATTTGCAGTCTTATAGGAAACATCGTGAGATGTTAATTCTTCCTGCGCAATACCCAAAAAATCTTTTTGTCCTAAACCCTTTCTAAAAATAGCAGCGCACTTCCTGTGCTCAGGCTCTCCTGTTCTGTAGACTGATTGCTGTATATCTGCAGTGTGAGATCATCTAAGGGACAGCCGCCTGTAACTGCTAGCTTTACCGGATTTGATGATGTCACTATTGTGCTCCTCACTGTTCTCCTTGCTGGAGAGGAAGCTGTACCTGAAGAGGTGCAGTGCAAGGATCTTCCTGCTTCTGCTACAATAATTCTGTAGATCTGCACTTGCTTCACCTACCCTGCTGCTTCTTAACCTTCCCAACCAGTCATCAGATCACCAGTCATGAGGGGGCAGCTCCAACGTGAGGAAGAAAATCACTGCTCCTTTACCAAGATGGCTGCCTGCACACATGGACACATTGCAGAACAAACCATGGTAAGCCGGTAATGGGAAAAAGGTGCAAGGAGACCACAGGCAATACTGCAGACTAGTTCTTTGTCCTCGGTTTGACCTTTTTAGGCACAGCTTCTATAGCACAGGTCCTCTTCAAAGTGGCAACAATGCGTTTTTCAATGTTAATGTTGACCTTTTTTAAGGGGTTCTTAAAGCAAGCACATCGGCCAAGCTAAAATTTAGAGAACCCATGCAGAATATCAAAGGGTCACTGGTGTGTACTTGCTGAGACTTGTGCTGTCGCATCCTCTCTCTGCTTTCTTTATCACCAATTACTATCAGGTTTTTAATCTGATGTAAATTACTAAGGAATGCACGGATACTAGTATCGGTGCCGAGTATTTGGGTGAGTACTCGTACTCGCTCAAATGCTCTGATGCCTAGCGCGATACCTGAGCTTCCGGTATCAGGTAGCCGGGCAGTGAGTCATTACACGCTGCCCGACTACCTGATTGGCCGGGAAGCTGATTCCACGCTTCCTCGTCACTTGGTGTAATGACTCGCTGCCCGGCTTCCTGATTGGTCGGGAAGCTGGCTAATCAGGAAGCCGGTTGGCGAGCTTCTCTACCAATCAGGAAGCCGGGCAACGAGTCATTACACAATGCCCGGCTTCCTGATTGGCCAGAAAGCCGGCTCCATGCTTCCTCGTCGCCTGGTGACGAGGGAGCATGGAGACGGCTTCCCTTCTAATCGGGAAGCCAGGTGGTGAGTCATTACACGCCGCCTGGCTTCCTTAACGGGACTTCCAGTATCGGCATTTGGTATTGGCGAGTAGCGTAAAGAAAATATCGGTACTCGATACAGAGAAACCGGTATCGGTGCATCCCTATAAATGACATCACCGTAACATCCTGTATAATATAAGAGAATGGGTACTCACCTCTATTCCCTCTTTGCTGATTGCATATTCGTCAAAGTTCAAGATGGCCGTCTTGATGATGTGCACGGTGGGGAGGACAGTAAGGCCAATGTTGATGGCGTTGCTCCTCTTGGGGTCCAGAACAACCAGAGTCTGCTTCTTTGTATCGGCCCCTTTCTGTGGCCGGGAAACAGAAATAACTTAGAACGGTTCTTCACTAATACAACTATTGGCTAAAATAATTCCGTCTTGCTGCATGAGCTTGCAGGTTTATAATAATATGACAGGTTATGATGAGGGGAACCAAGAGCTCCCTACTACAGCAATGCTTTTTACAGTAGTCTTCCTAAAATCTGTGACACATTGCACGCGAAGCGGTAGTGCATGGATCTTCGTGTGCAGTGTCATGTCATTTTCACTCCGGCGCGTCAGCTTGCGAGAACTCACATAGCTGAACGTGCCGAGATGAAAATTGTAATCTTCAGCCATTCGGCTCACGCGTATAAAACTGTGCGTCACGATGCAAAGTCCATTCAGTTGTAACGCCCGAGCTGATTGGCTTAAGATGCCGTTTTTCATCTGGCTGCGCTAAGCTCAGACACCGCATGTGAGCGTCCGTGCCTCGCAGTTTTGCTTTGCTCCGCACGGCCCCCCATGCAGTGTGTCATGGACTTTAAATAGAAGATATCTGCAAGTCTCACTTCCATCACAAATCCCAAAAGTAAAAACTGTTCAAGGAAGGGTTAAAGCCCCTATCAGGTTAATTTTGACAGTCTGTGTTCCATTTGGGAGATTTCACTTCCTGTTCGAGACAGCAGGTAACAAGTGGAGATCTTCCTCTCTTATACAGTTGTCACCAGAACAGGTTTTTTCATTGGTGGATTTCCCCTCAGCTCTCGTTCTGGGGACAATGGACCAACAGTAAGGCCCCATTCACACTGAGCGACATGAAAATCATGTGATTTTGCGTGCGATTTTATATGTGCGATATTGCGCGACTTGTGGCGCGACTTTTTCCTATTGGGCTGTATGCAATCAGGAGCAAAATCGCCCGAAATCCGCAGAAAAAAGGGTCATGTAGGAGCGACAAGCTACAGCGACGAGCTACAAGCAATATTGAGCGTCGAGATGTGAACAGCTCCATTGAAATGGATTGGAGAAGCTACATAGAGCGATATCGCGTGGAAATACGAGCGATATCGCTGCAAAAATCGCTCAGTGTGAATGGGGCCTTAGGGTAAATCTCCCATGTCGGGACACAGGCAGCTATGAGAGCCCTCAAAGATCTTTTGACACTTCCACATTCCATCAAAAAATGGATTTCCATACACCAAGTATATAGAGGTTGGTGTTCTCTGTACTTCTTTTGCACTATAGATTTTTGCATCTACTAGTGAAACCCACAAAGGTACGTTTTATCACATACTCACCTTGGAAGGAAGCAGCTCTTTGGCTTTGGATTCAAAAAGATGTTCAAGCTTATCAGTGTCCACCATCACCTTGTCCAGAGACTCCCACACAGTGCCTTTGCCAAATTTCCCCCGGCTCTGGCATTCTGCCTCCTTCATCTCTTTCCAGAACAGTTTCACCGTCTTCCTCTTCTTACTAAACGCTGGCGCGATAGAGTCTGTAGAGATGGCACTGAAGCTGGGTGGAGCCGGAGGAGGTGGCGGTAACTGTGGTCTGG